TACTGAAACCAATACGGCCGTACTGAAGTTTTTGAACTTCAGTACGGCCGTACTGAATTCAATACGGCCGTACTGTAGTTCAAAACTTCAGTACGGGCCGTATTGACCCCAGAGGCCGTACTGCGCCTCACTCCTATATATAGGACGTCATTTGGACGTCATTCCACACTTTTCACACTTTTTTGGACTCTCTTCTTGAGTATTCTGGGGTTTTTGAGCAGTGTTCTGCCCTAGAAATCTCTCTGAGAGCCGATCCGACGAAGTTCTTGAGTCACGAGCCATTTGCTTGAGTCTCGAACCCAGTCGAAGGGAAATCTCTTGGATTTCCATAGTAAAAAATTATTTTTTAGGAAGGAGCGAGCGAGCGTGTAGAGGGAGGGAGCGCCAAAAAGCCTCCTAGATTTCGTTGAAACAGTGAGAGTGGGATGAGATAGTGAGAAGCGAGAGTGAGATGAGACGGTGAAAATAGTGATAACCCGTGACTGAGAGTGAGAGTGGGATGAGACAGTACCGTGAGGAGTAAGGCAAAGAAAAAAAATTTAAAATAAAAATTAATATTAACCGTAATTTTTAAAAATTGTCGTTATAAATAAAGTTTTACTGGCTAATTTTTATTGGCCACTAAAAGCTTTAACTAATAATGATATGCAGGCAATTGTCTTATTGCCACTAAATAATGGTCGTTAATGATACGTTTTGTTGTAGTGTTTAGATACATGGATTTTAAAAAAATGGAAGAGACATATCCAATTAACTAGGTTGGTACTCTCGCATTTAAGCTCTTCCACTCAAGTGTCACACACCACTTTTTTTTTCCCCATTTCTAATATCATGAACATCAGATTATTCCACATTGGCCTCCTTGAACAGCAAGCCTCCTATCACTAAAGTGTATGTGCAAAAAAGGGATATGGACTGTGGGAAATCAACAACATTGATCCTGCACACTTAAAGTTATATGTACAAATGAAAATGGATAGTGATTTATATACAAATTCTGGTTTCTTCTAATTCTAATACTTTTATAGTGATCAATCTAAATATTACTTTCTCATGATCCTGAATATTGTAACCAACATTAATTTAGCTATTAAACATTGATTTTCCAACACCCAATTGTAACCAACATGTGTCAATTCGAGTCAAAAGGATTTGGATCTCTTAAACATTTGTTCTTAGGTTCTATTCTGGCAAAAATACCATATGGGAGGGCTCCTGTTTTATCCTAAAGGTATATCAAGGACTAGTTAAGGAGGTAGCAAGTGGAAATTACTATTCTTTATAGCACCATATATAATACTAAGAAGAAACAACACACCCCTGGGCAACTAGAAAGTTAAAAATGACAATTTTGGAATCTGGAGGATTTATGTTTCTAGAAAAAATAAAATTATAAGTTCTCCCACCGTGGAAACATCCAAAGATGTACATTGATTGACCTATTTGTCACACTGTTCTATATTAATAGCTGAAATCACCAAAAAATAATGCTTAACACTGTACTACCATGATCTAAAAGAACTTAAGATCATTTCCGGTTAGATGCCTCAATCAGATTAACAAATTGGGAATGGAAATTTTCACATACCAAAAGTTGGTATTCTATTTGAGAAATCCTGTGACCTCCTTTTATTGCAAAGTGAGCACAACTACAATACTTTCCTTTTCTTCAGTACAGATCAAGGTACAGATATCCTAAGTCACCCTGAAATGATTTTGAGTCTCAATGTGAGAAATGATTAATAAAAAAAAAGAAACATTATTGGTTCCAATCATCATTATCAGAATTACAGAGAAGCATTGATTGTGATTGCAGTTTTGATTCCAATCGTGAACCACCAGCTGAATCAGAGAGAAGCATTGATTGTGATTGCAGTTTTTATACGGTCTGTCATGTTGTGAAGATGTATGTATGACTACCAAATTATTTCATATCTCTTTTCTGAAGTTATTGGGCTATGTGTTTTTGTGGTGTTGTCTCTTAAATTTCCTAATTCAGTTATCTAAATCCACATATAAGTAATGTCCAAATAAATTTGCAAGAAGTGTATGAGCAACTTAATGAATCCCCTTTAAGATTGATGAACTGTTTCTGTGTTTTAGGAGTCTCAAGCGCCTTAGTCTACCTAGCATACTCCCACCTCAACTGGCTAAGCTACCTTTTCTCCAAGAAGTGTATGAGCAACTTAAATACGTTACTTATAGTTTCTTACTGAAAAAAAATTGTAATGAGTTTTCACAAATTGATTTGGTTTCTTTCCAGATATAAACATTTTAAATAGTTCAGTGACTCTTTGATTTTAGAATTTCCAAAAAATTTCCTTATGTGGACAGAGATTTTGCATACAATTGGTTCACTGGTTCTATTCCAAATGAATGGGCTTCAATGAAATTAGCTTCAATGTGAGTTTGAATCTTTTCCAACTACTGCAAGCATTTAATAAATTCTTATAATTATTTAAAAAATAAGTATAAATGATTTTTACATTACATACTTTCTACTTTTATTTCCTTAACTCATTTTAGGAGTACTTATTTGCATTTTGCTTTGTATATCATGGATTCTTCAAGAATTGGAGCAGCACAAATTAAGGGAATGATTGAGTTATAAAAATTGAAAGAGAACAGAATAACTAATAAGGACAAATGAACTGCTTCAAAATAGTTCCAAAAAACAGTATCAGACAAGATAAACATCAAAATTCAATTTAATTCTGTTGATACAAGATAAAACTGTCCTACCACAAGTAATTGTAGTGTAATTGAATTTCCTGAACATAAAAGTATCTTCACAAACTTACGTTGCATTTTTGCTTGTTCAGCATATAAGTTCCATCGTACACACCACTCAAACGTGCAAATGCCTTAAGGAAATCAAAATATAAGTTAGTTCCTAAGGTTTACTAAGTTTGAAAGGGGAAACAGATAAGGAGAACCTCCCTGAAAGCGTGCTAGGGACTCTGCATAAATATTTACAAAGAAAACAACAAGTTAAGCGCTAATAAAGTTTAAGAAGTGATTCTAGGTTTAGAGTAGCCAAACCTTAAACGATTTAGGGTTCCTTGCGCGCACAGTTTCAACAATGGCGTTTAAGCTTTTGGAGAAGAAGATGATGCTTTGAGAGACACTTCTTCGGGGGAAATGGCTCATGCTGGTCACCAAATAAACGAAACTTGAGGGTGCTTAAGCTTATACAACAATGGCGATTCCAGGGCGCGCACAGTTTCTTTGTTCAACGTAATGCATATGGGTAAACGAAACCTAATGTTGTTCACGGAAAAGGAGAAGGGGCTGCAACGAAACCTAATATTGTTCATGGAGAAGGAGAAGGGGCTAATGTTGTTCACGGAGAAGGAGAAGGGGCTAATGTTGTTCACGGAGAAGGAGAAGGGGCTGCAACGAAACCTGATGTTGTTCACGGAGAAGGAGAAGGGGCTGCAACGCGGGTTAGCATATGGGTCTCATACTACATCGGTTACTGGGAGAATCGATGTAGATATATTTGTAATTATTCACGATAATGCCACCGCGAATTCAAAACGACATCAGTCCCACCAAAACGATGTAAAACTGATAGCAAAACTAGGAGAAGTGAAAGATGTTCTT